ATTGTAGTTCCTTTGAATCTGGAAGAGTAATACCTCCATTCTTTTTTTGTCAGAATTTCTTTGGTTATTTGGGTTATTTTTTGGTTCTGTACAAATTTCAGTAATACTTATTTCACTTCCTTGAAGAAAGCTAAGGTCATTTTGATAGGAATTGCATTCAATCTGTATATTGCTTTGGGTGCATTCAATCTATAGTCCATTTTTGAGTTATTTTTGTATGTGGAATAACAGAGTGGCCCAGTTTAATTCTTTGGCTCATGGCTGTCCAGTCTTCTCAATACCATTTACTGAAGATACTGAAGTCTTTTCATAAAGTCCATTGTTTTTTAAAAATGAAATATTTTTTGAGGTAACATTGGTTTACACTACTATACATGATCAGGTGTATGGGTTCACGCCTCTTTTGATGTAAGTTCCCATTCCACACCCACCACCAAGGCACCCATAGTCCTCTCCTGAGTCCATTATGCCCCTTGCCTCCTTACTCCCTACTCTTCCTTCCTCGCTGGTAGCCTTAATTCTACAGTCAGATTTCTAGGGATTCGTTGGTTTAGTTCTACTTGTTGCTTTGTTTCCCTTCTTTGTATTCCACATATAAGAGAATGCATGCCGTTATTGTCTTCCTCCTTCTGATTATTACACTTAGTATAATCCCCTCCGGTTCCATCACATTGTTGCAAATTGCAAGGTTTCTTCTTGTTTTCATAGCTAAGTAGTATTGCATTGTGTTTTGTACAATGCACCTTCTCTTATCGACTCATCTGTCGGCCACTTAGATTATCTCCATAACTTGATTATTGTAAATGGTGCTGCAGTGAGCTTAGGGCTGCATATATCTTTTCAAATTAGTGTTTTTGTATATTTTTGGGTCAACAGATCATATACAGATCTATTTTTAATATTTTGAGATACTGGGGCTGGACCAGTCTCTAATCCCACCAATAGTACATGAGAATTACTTTTTGTTCCCATCCTCACTAGTACTAGTTGTTTCTGGTCTTTTTGAGGCAGGCCATTCTTACAGGTTTGAGATAGTATTTCATCGTGGTTTTGATTTGCATTTCCCAGATATAAAGATGATGATCATTTCTTCATATCCTTGTTGGCCATCTGCATGTCTTCTTTGGAGAAATGTTTATTTAGCTCTTTTATATTTTATTTAGCTCTTTTAGCTCTTTTGTTTTCCACATTTGTAGCATTTCTTTTTTGTATCTTGGATATCAGCCCCCTGTCAAAGGGATATAATTTGTTTTCTCCTATTTGGCTGGGTGATGCAGGAGTATTTTGCCTAAGTTTTAGTCTTTGTATTTTATATTTTCACCCTTACATCTACATCTGATTTTTTTCTTTTTAATTTTGTACATTTTAAAAGGACAGGTTTCTTAGGACAAGGAGAAAGAAAAAGAGGCACCTTCATATTCACAGAGATGTAGGAGAGCAGTCTTAAGTCTTGATCAATTTGGGATTGATTTTGTGCATCACGTGAGATAATGGTCTTCCATGCTTTTGTATGTGTCTGTCTATCCAGTTTCCAAAACTATTTGTTGAAGAGACTTTCCTTTGTCATGTATATTCTTAGTTCATTTGTAGATAAACTGTTCATATAAGCATGCAATTAATTCTGGGCTCTCAATTCCATTGGTCTGTTAATCAGTTTTTATTTCAATACCATACTGTTTTGATTATGATAGATTATATTATAGTTTGAAGATACTGGTGAATATTTTTCACTCATTTTATATAAAAAATTAAGCACAAATAAGTGGGTTTATTACTGGGTACAGTAAATTGAACATGAGTTTTGTATCTGAAATTGGTCTTTGATTTAAATTGGCCCTGATTTCCAGGTTTAAAAATTATAAAATGAAAACTTACCAGGCTAATGGTGAATTGACTTTTTAAAATCAGTATTTTCTTAGTGGCTTTTACTTGATCACACTGTATTTAGTCATAAAGTTGAGAGAAGTAGCTGACACAATCCAAGCACCTGGAAAGTAGAAGGTCTAAGCTTCCTTAAGTTCACTAGGTAAATCAGGAAAGATGATTTTACATTCCATGTAAGAGAACCTATATAGACTTCAGGGAGAAGCCTCATAGTAACCCATATCCTTTTCTCATTCCAGGAAAATTCCTATAGGAAACTGACTCTATGTTCCAAATAAAATGGGAGAAAACTAACTGCAATGGGTATGCTTACAATTTAGGAAGCCAAGCACCATTCTGCTCTTTCTAACTAGGTCTGAATAATCTACAGGCTGGGATTACTAATGAGAGAGTGGTGAATTTGCCAATATGAATTTTCATTCATTCAACAAACATTGATTGAGTGACTACAGGTGTGCCAGACTTAGTGTTATGTGCCAAAGAAAGGATTTTTTTTAAACCTGGGCCCCAAGCCAAATGTTTCTTACAAGCTCAGAGTGTGCTTTAGTGATGAGACCATCTCAGTCCCTCCCCATCCTGAGATACTGACCCTTAACTGATCCTTAAGATAAAGTTTGAATTGCAGAAGACTGCTCTAGCACCCTCTAGGTGCAGAACCTGATTCCGGAGCCACAGCGCCCACCCGTGGTTTGTATCACCAAAGAACAGAGTGAGAAATAGAGGTTGGCGCTGAAAGCTTAAGGCACACATGGCAGCCAGGGATAGAGTTCTGAACCCACAGAGTGACATGGCAAGTGACTGCCTCTGGGAGTGGTGATGACTTAACCCCTTTTTCAGTCATTACCGCACTGGGAAAAGCTGTGGATCGCTCATTAGGAAAATGCAATCCACAGCCACACATACTTAAAATGACTTTGGAAAGTTTATATGTTAGAAAGCTCAGGTCTTGGGAGAAGAAGTGATTTCTGCACAAGCACTTGGCAGCTGAGAGTAGAGTCACCTACCACCACTCAAGAAGCAGCGCCATGGAAACACAGCATCCGCGATGCCGAGTTTATCAATGCACCTGCACCTCCAGGTGGAGAGCCTCGCCCAGGGCTCCACCCAAACTACTGAGCTCCAAAACCCTGGCGGGGGTCTAGGTAGCAGCTGGGGCTTGTACGCTGCAGGGCGCACGGAGCTCGGTTCAGCGATCGCGAGCTCGGTCTTATTCCCCGCGCCTTTCACTGCTCTGCCTGACAGGAACCCGGGTCCCAAAGACCAGTCTTCCATTCCCAGCTTTCCCCACCCCGCTCCCTGCCCGCCTGGAGGGGAGAGCAAGTTTCAGGACTGGTACCAGGATTCCCAGCCTTGGGCTTTTTTTCCTTTGTGGCAGTGCCGCCAGAGAATTTAAGGAACAAAGTTTAAAAGAACATCATGGAAATTACCTGTCCCAAATAGGAAGCTTACCTACCAGAAGGGAAAAATATCTGATACCAGGGAGGTATGTTGTAGGAAATGCTGAGGTTTCTAGCATTGAGGATTGGGGTGAGGACCCACAGTTTGGCTCACTCTTTGAACACCCCGGTTGATTTCTGCTCCGCCTGGGTTTATCGTCTAGCTGGGGTCTTTGCTGGCAGACCGTGCACCCCGTTGCTGCCACGGTTTGCCGCGCCAGGATGTTCGTTACTATTGACTGCAGATCCAGCGCTCTGAGCTCACCCTGATATCCTGGGCACAGACAGGTCTTTTCTAGATTAAATCCGCTTCGGGTAAGAAGTCAGAACATCGGACCTTCCAGGGAGGTTGGAAGGGGTGCGCTCAGGCTGAGGGATCCAGGACCCGGGTTGTGCCAGGAGATGTGCTGCCTAACTGGGTGTTAGGAGCCGCACACGTTCTCCCGCAGGTAGAGGCGATCAGGTCATTCATGCGTGCAGGTGATCACACCAGAAACTCGGACAAAAGTTCAGGGTTCTTTTGGGACTGAATCCCCGGGGATACTCCCTGCCCGCGGTCTTTCTGTGCCTTTGGAGAATGCACCGTGTTGGTAGACAGTAATGAGCCTGTGTGCGTGTGTGGAAGAGCACGGTTGGCGGTGAGTGTGAATGTTAGAATCTGCAAGGACTCGGCACCATCAAGCCAGCCCTCCTCTCCAGTGAGGACTCAAGTGGGGGTGCGGGTGCAGACCTGGGATCACATGCCACTGGGAGCAAACAGCAGCCGGAAGCAAGGGCAGCTGGACAAATGATCAGGTGGGCGGATGTACTACAAGTGATGGATGGCTGCATAAGAAGGGGGAGGGGTAGAGCTATGCCTGGAGGGGAGGGAAGCTTCGTGCTTTAAACTCCCTCTTTTGGACCCTGCAGGGCACAGGTCCCTCCCCAATCACATATTGGACCACCCTGCTCCACTTGAGACTGAGGCTATTGCACAAGGTTGGGAACTGCACTGTTTGAGTGTATCCTATAGAATACCCTAGTGGGCCAGGAAGCTCCTCCAGATCTCTCACTAGCCAGGGGACAGTCCCATGCAAACCGTGACAATATCCCTTCATGTCGGTAATACAGTGTCCATTTCAAAGATGGGTATACTGACACACTCTGAGGATATTTAGCCCTAATGCGAACACCTGGATTCGTGCAGCTGGAAGGGAGTTCAGGTCTTGCTCCCTCCTCCACCTCTTGCTTCCCAGCAGCCCTCCTGCTGCCTGCATCGGACACCCCACTAGGGCCAGAATCGACCCCAAAGCATTAACCCTCCAAGGGGCAGCTTAGACCTGTGGGGCCAGGACCCCTGCAGCCCTGGATCTTGCTCGCTGAAACTTCACAACTGGGAAGGAGTGCGGCGCACGTCAAAACCTGTGGAAATAGACATGTGAAATTTACCCAAAGGACAAACCCTCCAAAAGTTCCTGCTCACGAAAAGTTTATTCCCATCGGTCCCCCACAAGCCCCCTCCTTGCACAATGACCTCAATGCAAATACAAGTGCGATGGTCTTCCTGCGTGCTCCGTGCGCAAGTGGGTGACACAAGTGCTCTGCGCGGGAGCCCTTCCCTCATTGGCTGCCCGGATCTCCTGGACCACCCCAAACCCAGAGCGGCGGGAATAAGAGCTGCTGCCGGTGCTGGGAGGCTTCGGAGCCACTACCCAGCTCACAGTCGCTGCGGCTTCCAGTGACAACACAGCTGAGGCTCTCACCACCTCCACTGCGAGCTACCTGCTGCCAGGTGAGCCCTGAGATTCCTACCCTGCAATTCTAACCTATTTCTCTCTCCTTCTCTCGCCCGCTCTCTCTCTCCAGCAGTATTTCTCTAGGTTGAGCTCCTTGCCTGTTCGAGTCTCTGTCCACCTCTGTGTGGCTCTACGGGACACACCTCAGGTACGCCGCGCTCCGTCAGGGTCCTGCACAGGTAACACGGGACAGTCTCAGTGCGGGGACTCGAGCTGCGGTCTTCGCGGGCTGAGGCGGACTCTGGTCTCCACACTTCGGCTGCAGTGGGTCTTAGTCCAGTCTCGGGACCCTGGAGCCCCCCACTCGCCCCGGAGGCAGAGCGGGAGCCCCTCGCTCGCCCCGCGGGCAGAGCGGGGTGCAGGCGTAGCTCTCTGCAGACTGTGAGTTTAGGGCTCGCATCTTGGGCTAGTGGTCACGGGGAAATTCATTTGGAACCTGGGCTAGTGCAAGTGGGTAGAATTAGGTGCCACAATTGCATATAATGGAAGTTTTTTCCCCCTAGTTTAAGTTGAGGGTCTCAACTGGAAAGCGTACTAAACTTCATTCATACAGTGCCTCTCCTGACTTAGCGCTAGAATTTCCATCTTTGGTTTCCCTCCTTACTATCTGGGTAAAAGCACCAAACAGGGAGCCAGCTCTGTTTGTGTGTTAGGGGAACAACAATGTAGCCGGTTGCCTGAGACTGTCTTTAACAGAAATTTTTTATCAACAGATACAGGGGAGACAGCATGGGGAGGGGGAGAGGAGCTGTGGACGGGACCTCCTCTCCTGTTTCCCCTCTAGCTTTGCTCCTCTAGCTCCCCTAAAAATTATGAGCGCTACAGGTTCCCTGGATCTTCCAGCAGTCGCTTCAAGGATGAGGACTCAAAAAGTGAAGGAAATGACACGAGGAGCTTGAGACCAGGATGCCAGGGACTTACAGTGCAGCGCCGGAGCGCAGGTCTGTGGGCTCGTGAAGGTTTGAACTGGGGAGGTGGTGACCTTATTCTTTCCTTGCAGGGAGGCACCATGGGCTTCTGGAAGCTCCCCACCTTCCTGGCTCTGAGCATCCTGGTGCTGTACCAGGCTGGCCTCCTCCAGGCAGTGCCTATCAGGTAAGTGAGCCCTGCCAGGAGCACACTTCTCCCCACTGCCCCTGAGATCAGAGAATTTGGAGCTCTGAAGTGTGGTGGACTGAATGATTAACAACTCTCTGAGGGAGGGTTTGGTAGGGGGGAGATGTCATGTATGGTTTTCTGACTTAAGGATCTGTAACACATAGCTGACAAATCATAATATCAATGTTCTTTGTTTTAAATTTCATTGTGTCTCATAAAGTGTATGTCTTGCTTTTTAACATTTTTTTTTTCTCTGTAGCCTGACCATTTATCTAACTAAATCATGACCTGTGAAATGAATTGCATCTTAATTTGCTACCTATTTTGCCAAAACATTTGTGGTCATTTAATCTGAAATGTGACCTGTAATCTATTTCTTATCTTTACGTACATATTTATTAAACTCTAACCTTTTCAGTTTCAGCACTAATTGTAAGCTTTATCATTTAATTTTTAATGCCTGTTTAAATCTAGGCTGACAAAATTTCTGAAAACTGAATCTTTAAAGCACCTGCAAGACACACATCCATCATCATGCTACTGCTTAGAGGTCACACTGGTGCTGGGCTACTGATAATAAGTGTCCTTAGAGAAAACTGGCCCTCTGCTCTGTCCCCTGGGTGAGGGAGTAGAGGGTCACATCATTAAGAGAAGCCCTGGAACCAGGAAGCCCGGCTGCCACTTCTGGCAGTCTGTGGCTCAGAGCTAGAAATGTGTTTGCTTCTCTTCCTCAGGGCTGCCTTGGAGAGCCCCCCATACCTTGCCTCACTTCCTGAGGAGGATCGCCGCCTCTTACTGATTGAACTGGTGAAGGCCTACATGCAGATGAAGGCCGATGAGATGGAACTGGAGCAGGAGAGAGAGACTCGGGAATCCAGGTGAGGTTCTCTATCCCACCTAGGACCGGATATCCCTTCCCCTTCCTCCTGGCATAATAGGAAGGTGTATCCTAAGAGGTAGGAGAAAAATTGGTCTGGCAGTCCTGAGGAGACCTTCCAGCATTGGAGGAGATGGAACTGGTAAGACTGGTAAGTGTAAAGCCAGTTGATTGACCCCATAGCCTTAGAAGATTTTAGAAAATACGGTTCTACCTTGTTCACCTACGCACAATATTCTTACACACCGATTAGACCCTTCTTTACACATTTGCAAGGTGAAGCCACAGGCCGTGCAGGGGGTGGGCTCAGGGCTCTCCCTGAGGTAGGTATGGGGACCTTTGGCTGTGTAGGACGCTGCAGATGTGCATGTTGCCATGGTGCTGAGGGAACACCCTTGCCCAGCTCTACCTCCCGGAGCACCCTGAGCTTGGAGCACATCCCAGCCCCTTGCCTGGCCCCAGCAGTGCCCAGGCAGTGGCACTTGTTGCACCTGCATCCACCCTGAGAACCTCTCTGCAGAGCACAAAGGACTGAGCAGCATGAGGAAGGCCAGAAAAGGCCACCCCTCCCCCTGCAGCCCACCCACCCTGCCCTGGCTCTGCATGCCTCCCAGTTCTCCCCATGGAGGAGGTGTGAGCTGCCCTCCTGCCTGCCCCTCCTGTCCCTGCTGGAAGTGACTCCTCCCTGGCTTAACCTCTGTGAAAATGCCCACGGAAGCATGTCACCATTTAGCATGTTTTCTCCCCGCAGTCTGGACGGCTCCAAAGCTAAGCGGTGCAGTAATCTGAGTACCTGTGTGCTGGGCGCATACACGCAGGACCTCAACAAGTATCGCACGTTCCCTCAAACTGCAGTTGGGGTTGGAGCACCTGGCAAGAAGAGGGTCATGGCTGGCGGCGTGGAGCGAGACCACGGCCCTCATGTTGACATGCCCCGGGACACCTAGTAAATCCCTCCCTCTCCTAATTCCGTCTTGTTCCTTCCATAACTTGGCATGAGGTCCCCTCTGATTTCTTTTGGGCTGGTGTCAGTGGCTTTCTCTGTGGCAGTGGATGTCTGGAATCTGAGGTGGGAGGAGAGAGAGCAGGACCTAGGACCTACAGTCCACAAAAGAATAGACCAGAGAGGGCAGCCTGAGGACTTCATAGCAGAGCCCTCAGTCTTGCTTCTGAGTGTGCATGTCAGGGGGGAATAAAAGTGCATTTCTAAGATACACTAGCTGTGGTGATTATTGCTCTGACCCACATCCCAGGCCTCATGGATTCAGGGACCTGTGCTTAGAAGTAGCCTTAGCACTGAGGTAGCTGGACACAAGAAATGGTGGGTGGTCCCTGTGACCAACCTCAAGTAGCAAGAACAGTGCACCCAGGCCCAGGCACAGGTAAGCACATTTGGGACAGAGGCTATATACTCTCTTCCTCTTTCAGGTGAGTCTGGGGGTATTGTTAAGAAGGGACGCTTGGTGATTATGAGTGGGATGCGGCTTCCAGACAATCCTGGAGAAGGGGGTAGAGTGTGGCTTCACTATTCTTTCTAGTCTGATAAGCCTTGGTTAATTTTCAGGTTACTTATATAAAAAAGATTGACTGTGACAGCTTTGTGTTCCATGACCAGTCACCCAGAGACTCCTTTAGGTTTCTGACACCCCTGGAGATATCCATGGGGAGTGAGCATGGCATTTCCACTAATGGCCCTGTGATTTTCTCCTCGTGTAAGTGTGCTTAGGAGAGACACTTAAGGGTAATTGATGCCTCTCAGAATGGTAATTTTGCCTTGATGGTCCTGTGGGCCAGCGCTTCCCCCTATACAACTTCTTACTGACAGGTCTTCTCTTTTTCTCTATCCTGTAAAATCAGCGTCAGTGCCCAGAAGAGAGCCTGCTACACTGCCACCTGCCTGACTCACCATCTGGCCGGCTTGCTGAGCTCATCTAGAAACAGGGCAAGGAACAACCTGCTGCCCATGAACATGGGCTACAGAGCCAATGGCCGTCGCCGCATGAACTTCAGAAACTAAACAGCAAACCGACTCTGGCAATCAGGTGACTGCCCCCATGCTGGCCCGTGGAGGGTGGAGGGCTGGGGTTACAAGGGTCTCTACACTCTGAGCCTCCTGGGCCCATGTCATCAAAAAAGGCCTACGGGAAATGGCTTTCACTCAGTGTCTAGAGTACAGTAGTTCCAATTGACAAAACCCCTAGAATTTGGGTTTGTTTCTCTGTTTCTCAGTCTCTGAAGAGTTAATGAGATAATAGATGTCAATAGCTTCATAATTAATAAGTAATTAAATTCTTCATGTTGTTTTTTTCCTCCTAGATCACCATGATGCTGAACTCGACTTCCTTCAATTTGACGACTTAGAAAAAAACAAACATGGAAAATATCCATGTATGCATGCTCCCCAATATAAAAATCATTCTTCCTCCTTCAAAATAAATCTAAATGCATGATAAACGCATTGCAAGTGAATTTGTGTGATTCTTTTCTATACTTGACTCAGTGGTCAGTGAGTGTGACTGTGCGTCTCTCAGGTTGACCTCGAAGCAGATCTGGGGCCCCGGCAGGCAGCCGAACTCTTTGATGTTGATGGCTCTGCTTGAACCTCAGGGGGCTGGGAAATTGCTGCCGTGGGAATGAGGGGGGACACAGAGTAATACCGGACTTCGGCAGAACTCTTTAAGAAAATGCCAATATTGTCATTTTAAACTTCATTACAATAAAACAAATAATTCTGGTACACTTGAGAAAAAGTCCCTGCTGCTGTTTGTGCTGTCTGTCCCTTGAGAGCATCACGGACCTGTGAACACTTGGTTGAGCAGGTTGACTCAAAGCAGGCAAAGCCAACATAATTGGGAAGGGTTCTCCGTGTCCTGCACCTTCGGTTTCTAGGGAAACATTCCTCGTTGGAACTAGGATCCCCTGCATCTCAGGGACAATATGGTCATCTCCAGAGTGCCCTTGTCCCCAACCCTAAGGATTATCTGTGCACTTCCCCTAGACCATGGTTTGCCCTTGGCTATTCCTGCCTTTCCTCCCCATAAGCAGTCCCTAGTCTGCAAAGCCCCTTAGAAACAATTGCTGAGTCTGAAATGGGATCACAGATGGGCAGACCCGGAGAGGTCACAAGAGGCTCCAGTGCAACTTCTTTATTCTCTGAGGTACAGAGAAGTACCTTGATCAAGGTCCTGCAGTAAGTTTCACAGACATTTATACACTTAACAAATACTTATTGTGACCTGCTGACAGCTAAGCACTAGTCCAGGCACAGAATATAGCAGTGAACAGAACAGACAAATCTCCCTACATCCTGCAACTTCTTGTCTAAGTGGGGGATATCGAGGCGATACATGCTGTGGCATCATAGACACTCAGTTTTGGAAGAAATCTGGAGGTCATAGGGTCCAAAGCTGTATTCCATGTAGGAATTTCACAGCAGCAGCATCTGCTGGTCCTGCAGAGGACGAGTGGCTGACTAACTCCCAAGGTGACTGGGCATCAGTTTCACTGGTACACAAATAATCGGGGTTATTTTGTTAGAGAAGTCACCCCTTCTCCCCACTGACTGTAGTTATTTTTTTAGGAGCACACAGAATTATGACCCTTGGTCCATCAGCCTGTACAGTAGCCGAACTTCACTGTAACAGGGTATTGAGACCATATCTGCCTTACGCCCTAGCATGCCACTGAATCCCCATTTCAGGGGGTAAACACTTGGGGGGTTGCAATGACCTACAAGTTGAGTTTCTCTTCCTCTCCTGTCACCACCATTTCCATTACCTGCCTAGCCTCAGTTCCTAGTTCTCTCTCCCACAATGGTGTTCTTACTATTCCCCCAGCACCCAGCCCTCTCAACTGTGCTCACTAACACTGGTGTGCAGAGTGCTCTGAACTCACAGCTGCACAGTGCTCTGACCTCACACTGCTGTTCAGAGTGCTCTGACCTCTAGATCTTTACTGAAATGTCACCTTCCCTGCCTATCTTTCCTGACATTGTACCTCACCACCCTGCCAATATAGCCTGACCCTCGTCTTCTTTTTTTCTTTGACACTTTTATCCTCTATCATATTTAGTTTATTGTTTGTACCCCATGCCAAAATAATGTAAATTCTACAAGGACAGGGATATAGGTATTTTGTCAATTGCTGCATGCCCTACACGCAAAGCAGTGTGTGTGTGTGGCACAAGACAGCATTCAAATATTTATTGAGTGATAAAGGAATAAATGAAATTAGGTCTTCTTCCCTTTTATGCATGCGGTCCTGGTTTTTTTCAGGCTTAATTTCTGAGAGGGCTTAATCTTTAGCAATGATATCGCATGGATCATGAATCCCTCAGACTCTGATGGTGGTGGGTGTAGTGTGATAACATGCATTTGTAGAGATGTATACTAGCGCATACACAGTGTTGTAAATCAATGTTATCTCATAAACATTACTAAAAAAAAAAAACCCACCTGTATCACAAAGCTACAGTAATGATCACATAAAAGGGGACAGATAGATCGCTGGAACAAAATAGACTCTAGAAAGGGTTCCCTTATATACTGTCAACTAATTTTTGACCAAGATGCCAGGAATACAATGGGCATAAGGTTCTGCAGGCTGGATGTCCACACGCAAAAGAATGACACGAACTCATCTATTATAATATACACACAAAAATCAACTCAACATGCATTAAAGACTTAAGCTTAAGACCTGAAACCGCAAAATTCCTGGAAGAATACTTAGGAAAACTTTTGACATCGTCATAGTGGGACACCAAAAATACAGTCAACAAGGGCAAAAATAAGTAAGTAGGAACATACAAAACTAAAGGGATTCTAGGGAATGATCAGCTAAATGAGAAGGCCACCTACAGAATGGGAGAAAATATTCACAAACCGGGCATTCAATAAGGGGTTAATATCCAAAACTCCTAAGGAACCCTTACAACTCAAAAGCAAAATAAAACAAAATACCTGATTAAAAAAATAAGCACAGGATCTGAACATTTTCCCAAAGAAGACATACAAACGAGTAAGGTATGTGAAAATATGCTCAAGCTCACTGATAATCAGTGAAATGCAAATCAAAACCACAATGCCACACTACTTCACTCCTGCTAGGACAGCTACTATCAGAAAGTGAAAAGAGAACAGGTGTTGGTGAGGATGTAAAGAAAAGGGAACTCTATTGCATTGTTTTTGGAAATGTCAATTGATGTCACTAGGAAAAAAGTATAGAGGTTCTTCAAAAATTAAAAGTAGAACTACCATATCATTCAGGAACCCCATATTGGATATATATCCAAAGGGAATAAAATTTCTATCTGAAAGAGAGATCTGCATTCTCTTGTTCACTGCAGAATTATTCACAATAGCCAAGATATGGAAACAACCTAAAAGTCTGTCAACAGATGAAAGGATAAAGAAAATGTGGAGAGAAATATTTATCTATGTATATATGTGACTATTATTCATCCTCACAAGATAAGCAAATCTTGCCATTTGCATGCATGCATGAATGAGCCTAGAGCATGTTATGCTGAGTGAAATAAAGCAGACACAGACAGACAAACACTGCGTGATGCCACTTGCATGTGGAACCTAAAAAAAAGCTGAATTGTAGTAACAGAGTAAAACAGTGATTTTCAGAGAATGGGTTATGAGGGAAAGAAGGAGAAATATTTTGAAAGGCAAGAAAATAAGAGAATTGTCAGTGACTGGAGTAGGGGGTCATGGAGAGTTATTGTTTAATGAGTACAGAGTTTCAGTTTTGCAAAAAGAAGGGAGCTGGACATGGATGGAAGGAACAATACCACAATACCAGTGCACTTAGTATCATCCTACAGCATACTAACAAATAATTAAAGATGAAAATTTTATGCTATAAGTGTTTTACCAATAAAACATTTGGAATAAAAAAGAAACAATTTTTTGCTCCCTGGTGGTGCAAGGGGTTAAGAC